AATCTTTTTTTGATTAACTATTTCCAATTATATAAAACGTTCTAAATGATAGAGGTTAGTAGTAAATATGGTTGTATGTAGCATTCATCTCTACAAGAAATTAAAAGTCCTTGCACACCATGTCAGAAAGTGTGCAGTTTCTTTAGCCCCTTGGCACAGAACGCATGATATAATATTGGGCGCAAAAGCGCAACTTTGGTAGTTCATATTCCCTGTACTGTTAACCTTAATACAAAGGAGGGCTTGGGAGTAGTTAGTCTGCAATGCATTTGGTTGTTGAATTTCAGAATTTGAATTGTGGTGTTTGCTAGCTACAAAGCCATCTTTATCCATTAGATGTATCGTATCATGTCCCATTATATCCATCTTATATTATGCACAACTCCAGATTCTGCATAACAACTACTTTATAGGCACAGAAATTTCCTCTCATACAATAGGAACTTTCTTGTGCATATCATCACTATCCCAAAACAAAACCTTAATAAGTTTGTCAATCTTTGTAAGATTATTAATATTTAAGCAGTCTTTGAATCATAAATTTGTTTTCATGCTGTTTCATTGCAACTATGTTCAGTATTTAGAAAAGTTTTCCCATGACTATATTAATTTATGCCTTTGGATAATACCTATGAATATCCGGAAAACAGCAATTGGTCTGATTAGTTATACTTCCCCGCTTCCTATAAGTAACATATCTCTTTTAAAGTCAAATTTAAAAACTTTGACTATGATTTCACACCAATATAACAAAAAGTGTATAATCTTGTGAGTATTTGTAAGATTTGTCTCAACGTGTAGTTTTAAATTGTTAACCTTTGTAAATATTGATGGTCATAATACTAAATTGGAGACTGCGTTAATTTTTAAACAGAGGAAGGATTTCTCATCAAAACTTCATTCTATATTTGATTTAGTTGGATGGGGAAGGGGGGGGGGGGATCTGTATGGAACATTCTGTTGTAGATCTAAAATCTAACCAGCTTAATGGCTCAGTTTTTGGTTTTTGTGTGTGTGTATGTGGGTGGGGGGGGGGGGGTCTTCTCTTGCTGCTTTGTTTTGATCATAAGGATTGAGAACACATATGTATACTGCTTTTGCTACTACTTGATTTCTGTTGCCGGCTGGGACTGGTTATATGGTTGTTTTCTGACCACTGTTGCAATGTGGTTGTTTACAGAGCTGGCACTCTGACTCTGACCAAGATGACCAGTCAGCTAAGGGCCCTTCATGGTTCAGGAAACCTCATAATGGACCAGGAAGGAATTCTTCTCATACCCAGGGACGTCAAAAGAAAGGCAGAAGTAAGGGTAAGTTGTATTCTTTGCTTGCTAATGTTAGCTGTATGCCTGTCTATGATTTTATGTGCCTTTTTCCCAGCATTAATCCACAATTATCCTCTTTTTTCTTTGTCCCATTTTTCTACCATTTTTCCTAAGCAATTAGGCATTAATTCCCTATTTTGCTGCAAAAGAAAAGTTGTAGTTGCTTGGTTGTCCTATTTGAAACTGGCAATATGGGTAACCTTTTCAAAGAGGGTTGATCGTGACCTATCACACTGGAACATGGGTGCCTGTTGCCATGCTTTACTCATCGCATATTTGTCAGGGTTTGGGGTAAATTGAAGTAAATAAAATATCAGAACTGAGATACTTATATAATGTGTATTTAGAGGTGGCATAGACATGATTTGCTTGTTGAATACTTGAATCCGAGGCAAAGAAGTTATAAGTCAATGTTAGTAAAGAGACAGAGAGATATGAAATATATGGGTCTTGTTAAATGTTAAGCTGTTGAGGCATCTGCTCACCCTCTTTCAAAAATCAAGCCAACGCAGATCAATTGAGGAATCCACACATATCTTCAAAGCATAATCCTTGCAAATATAAAACCAACTACGAGGTTTAATATTTGCAGCTTGTTTTAGTGTCTTTTTAACGAGCCAGTGTCTTAAGAGACATGAAAGTGCTAAACTAAGGCTATAGTATTGGCCAATTGACCACATTGGTATAAAAGTTGACACCCTTGTAACAGATTGGTATAAAATTTATTGTCGGCGTCAAATTGGTATAAAAGTTAACAGTTGGCGACATATTGGTATATTAGTTAACAAGTTGTGACATTTACCCCTTTTATGTTGGAGTATATGCGTAGTTTACACGCGCTTATTTTTAGTGTTAAAAACTTTTATCTGAAATTTCTTTTTCCTGTTCTCTACTTTTTAAATTAATTTAAAAAGATTATGAAGTAATATCCAAAGAAATAATAGTGAAAAAGAAGGGGAAAACAGACAGGAAAGCCAATATGAATAACTAGTACCTTTTGTATGTATTTTTTGTTCAACACCAGCTTAATAAGAAGTAATTGCTATTTTAAGGTGTTGGTTGAACTAGTAAGACTTGGCAATAGCTTATTAATATTATTAATATGATTCAATCTTCTCTTTTATGTTTAATATAAAATTATGGATGCGGGTAAGGATTGATTCATCAAAGTTATTGTATTTAATTTAATATCTTGTTATTGATACTTATTTAATGGTATAATTTAATTTAAGATGATATGACAATTCATAACTTATAATTTTTGATAATTTTTTTTAAACGAAATAAAAAATAAGAAATAATTATTGATAATATTAGGTGGGAAGGAGGAGGGAAAAGTATATTTTGGTAATAAAAATGTTATGAAAGTAGTTTTAAAAACATTTTACAAAGTATATATAAGCATATTGTATAACTCGGGCTTTCATTGGACGAGAAAATAGGGGTAAATGTCGCAACTTGTTAACTTATATACCATTATGTCGCCACATGTTAACTTTTATACCAATCTGTCGCCACATGTTATCTTTTAGACCAATATGTTGCCGGAAATAATTTTTATAACAATTTGCTACAATGGTGTTAACTTTTATATCAATTGTTTCGGGGTTTTTCTAGTCCCTTGGAAGAGTTACGTCACTAAGTCTGGATTCTGGTCGTCTGCAAAATAACGGAAGCTCAGGTTGGTCGGAGATTCGCCTCCGACGTTCAAGTTAGTAAATATTCGGAATAAGAGGGTGCGCAAAAGTAAATATCTTCTCGGATTCCGAGATCAGGTGTTTCTCTGCTTTCAAGAATAATAAATGATGTAATGATTTAACGTGTCCCCAAAATATGGGAACCTCCTTATTTATAGGGTCATTGGGATTTGTGTCCTTGTCCTAGGTTATGGAAACCTAGGAATGATTGGGCTGCGCTGTTTTACGGCTTTCTAGGGATTTAGACCTTGGAGGCCGCCATTTCCTTTGGGGTTGTCTGCCACGTGTCGAGCCCTACTTTGGGCCCTTCCTAGGGTGACACATGTCACGCTATGAGAGGTCCACGTGGTAGGGTAAAAATACCCAAAACACCATTATGGTCAATTAGCCTGATATGGTCTAATTTGAGTTAATCTGATATGATTTTCTAATTTCATTAAACCTTGACCTTTTGTGTACACTAATCTTCAAGCAAAGAAATTATCAAATGATATGTTGAATTTATATTACTATTTGCTAAATATAAACTACCATTATTTTATTTTATTTTATTATTTATTTATTTATTTTTAATTAAGAAACAAGATATTTAGTGATAAGCAAACACAAATAAAAAATATGGTCTAGTCTGTCGGATCATTTCTGAATTAAGCATATATTTACTTAAATAAGTTGAATTGGACATAGCCTAAGCCTTCCTTTCTTGCTTCAGATTTGAAAAATAACCACCTGTATGATTGCTTTATTTGTGTCCAGGAGGATACAATTTTTGTGAAGATGATGATGATGTTCAGAGACTTGAGACCATTTTTCAATCCGCATTTAATGATCGATTTTTCATCTGGTCATTTGTGAACGATGATTACTCTGATAGGAGGAACTCATCACGATATTCTAATAGTGGTAAGACCTCTTGGAAAAGGAGACAGTGGATTGAAGACGATGATGAATATGAGTACATGTCAGAAGATGACACGAAGTCATCAGATCTAGCTTCAGAGAGGATAGCTCTTGGGCTGAGTGCTTCTGGTCCCCTTAAACTCGATGATGTGAAAATTGCGTGAGTTTATTGGACTTGCTTCTTTTATTTCATTATTTATTGTGACCTGAGGATTCCATCTTGTTGTATCTAACATTTATGTTCCAGGTACCGATCCTGTGCCTTAAAATGGCACCCTGACCGTCACCTAGGAACCTCCAAAGTAATTAACATCCGTCCTAATCTCTTCAATCTAATTTATGGAGAAAAAAGTGCGATAAACTAATTTGTCTAATAAATTTTCCATGCATATGAATAACAGGCTGCTGCAGAGGAGAAGTTCAAGCTTTGTACTTCAGCATATCAATCTTTGTGCGATAGACTAGCTATGAATTGAGATAGAGGTGCCCTTCTTTTAAATCCACCATGTCTCAACTAACTTTTTACCGTCTTCAAGAGCTTTTGGTGAGTAAACAACACAATTGAATTTGGTTGCAATTTCCAGTTTGTGGCCTGATGATAAAGATCATTTCTGGGGCAAAGCCACCATCATGGTTCAAATCCTACTGTTTCCAGTACCCCATCTTTCCATAAGGGCATCATATCTGAGTGGGTCTTGATTGTAGGCGGACTAAGCTGAACTAGGGGTAGGAAGCTTTACTCATGTTGCTATGAGCAATGTTAGTGCACCATCCCATGTAGGCGTGTACTTTAATACGAAGTATTACAGTTAGAAATTTAGTGCTTTTCTATGGTAGATTTTGAATGTGAAAACTTCTGTCTCACGGTGAGGCTTGTATATTTCGTAATAGAAATTTCCTTCTGAAGGTAGGCTTTTGGTTATTATGTACTGAAATATTTAGCGACTGGTTGCGCGATATTTTGTCGGTTGTCACTGAACTTTTAGTTTCACATTGATATTAGATGCAGTCTTACCCAACACCTACATAATTGCTCATGCACAACCCTTGGCCTGTTCAGGGGGCCTTACAAAGTACATTGATACAAACATACTCGATTATAATTGCACTACGATACATCTCATAGGATCTTGTACAAAATCTATTCTACAAGATATGAATCATATTATGGCATTCCCAACTTAGATTTGTTTAATCTTGTACAATAGATAAAAACTGGTCATTCTTCTTGACTACCTTTGGTACAAATCTACCAACGTTGTCTAATTTTTTCGCTTTATACAAAAAAGACGGAAACCTAGATCTTGTTCCCAGTCTAGGCGTATCCATGACGGGCCATGACTAAATTTGCTAATTCAAGTGAGCAAAAGAGTTATAAAACAACCTTAGCTACATCTATTTGTAGATGTACCTGATTAGGACTATCACTCGAAAACAACTAAAAATTTGTAACGAACGATTCATAGTTACGACGGTCATTATAGTTTACACTGGAATGTGAGTGCCAAGTTTGGCAAATTCTAGAGTTCTCTTCCCTTGTAGCTTGTTAGTGACATAGTGCTTACTATACTCTCCATGAAGATAATTTCTGTACTGGACCGGGTTGCTTTCGTCCACAAACTCGGGCATCGGCCCAAGTTCAACTTCATAACTTGGTGCATAAAATGTCACAATTGAGAGCCTGTCTTTTACCATGTTAGTTACTGCCCTATGCTCCACACTTTTATATTTCCCATTAGTTAACACCTACATAAATATCAAAATATTTGTAAATCAAATTTAAAACCAAATTAAAAACCCGTATCTAAAGACTTGTTTGGTATCGTTTTTTTAAAAGTTTTCACTTTTAACTGTTAGTTTTCAAAATTATTATGATTTTAATAAATTTTACTAATTTTTTATTTATTTATGATTTAAAAAAAATAAAATTTTATAGCAATACCAAATGAACCCTAACATTCAAAGCATTTAATTGAGGTAATTATTTATGATTCAGACTTGCTCAACTTGTTAATTCGAGACATGAGCAAGTTGAGTCAAGCAGAGAGTAAAATAACTCGACTCAAAAAGCTTGTGAGTATAATATGTATGCTACAACATATAAGTGAACGAAATGAAATAAAAAGGCAATTACATATAAGTGATAAGTTCGGTTCCAACAGTGCAAATATGAGTAAAGGAGTTAAGCTGTCAAATATAGCAAACAACTTGGTTTATGCTGGAAAAGCGGTACAAGAAAAGGACAAAAGAAAATTTAACTTGATGCCACCATTAGTCGACAACTCAGCCCCATTAGCACAAAAGTGGAAATAAAAGTGCTAAAAAACTAAACTTTATTACTTGTATTATACTTTTCAGAGAACAAACTTAAACTAATGGTCTAGTGATTAATCAAGATTAAAGGTTTAAGTTGTCCCCCCCTTAGGAAGGTTTGTAATTTTGTATATACATCGAGCTTTGACTTTAAGTGCCATTGAATTCATCATTGCGTTTACTTCTCTTGTTCTTTTTTTCCCTTTTAATTTATCACCTTTAAACTTATAATTATACTACCTCCTTTATTTATGTACAATTTTAAAATATTTTATATCTCACTAATAATACCCCAAATTTGCATATAATAATTAACGGAGGTAGTATATTAATTCTATGTGCGTGTACATGTATAGAAGAAAAGGTTTTGAACTTAAGTTGTAATTTGTAACCTAAAGGTAATTTAATTTGGAACCAAGAACCTATATAACTCGAGCATTTTCACGACTTCTTAAGCCTAACTTATTTGAACACAACTTAGCTTAACTAGTTCGTGAAAATCTCAATTAGATCGCAAGCAAGATAGACGACTTGTTATCATTTATATAGATTGAAGGAAAAATAATAGAGAAAGAAAAAGAGTAATTACTTCAAGAGTATCTCCAATGTTGACAACAAGAGCACCAGGGATTGGATGGATGGACACCCACTTATTGTCTTTGAGCAATTGAAGGCCAATAGAACTTCCTTGCTTTTGTTGTAAAATAGTAAGTGCACTTCCATCAGAATGAGGGCTTAACCCTAACACTAGGTCTGGTCTTGGACATGGTGGGTAGTAATTCATTCTTATGGCTTGAACTGCTTCCCCAAACATTTCCTCAAACCTCTCGGCTCTCAATCCAAGGCTCACCGCGATACACCTCAGTAGCTTCTCGCACAATATCCTTATCTCCCTCGTGTAAGCCTCAATGCTTTCACTGCACGAAAAGACAATAAAAAAATGTGACAACTTTTTCCAGACATGTTAAAAGTAATGATATATGTGACTGTTAATTTCGGACAGATGAAACAATACATTAGTCGTTTAATTACCTGAAGTTTAGTGGCTTTGTTGGCCAAAGACTTGGGTTCCTTATAAAATGTGGATGGATACCAAGAGCAAACATGTTACACCAATCAAGCTTTTGTTGCTCAGAGAAAACAAAAGCTTGACCATATCCTTGAACAGTTCCTGGTGCCATTTTGTACTTTTGTTTTTCCTCTATTGGTTGCTTGAAAAAATCCATTGACAATTTTTCCATCTTCTCTAGAATTTTTGTGTCAACTCCATGGTTTATGACCTAAGCATGTACAATTAAAAATCAAACATACTAAATAGATTTAAATTATGTTAATAAACTTAAAATATTTGTAAGAAAAAGCTTTGACACATAAAAAAAAAAAAATACTTCCTCCGTCCCTAAATTACATTCCTATTTCTCTCTATTATGTGAGGAATAAATGCTAGAAATAGGAATATAATTTAGAGATGGAGGGAGTATTATATTATGGCTGACCAAAGTCACTGAAATGTACAAAGATTGGTCTACCAGTCTTCTTAATTATAGTTTCATACTTTCATGCACTAAGTCTACATTTTATTTTTGTTTAATTTAGTGATAATCTTGACTAGTTGATTTAATTTATAACATGTGTTAGAAAACTTTAAAGTTACTTTAAAAAGTTGACTAAAGATCTTAAAAATATGTTTAAAAGGCTCAACGCAATTGGTTAACCAAGATTAGTGAAGGTGATGAGCATATTAGTACCTCACATTAAAAAAAAGACGAGTTAATTAAGTTTAATAAAAATGTGGGACAATATAAAAAACTTTTCCAAAATATTCAAGTTGGAACTGACACTTGATGTGTACATACTAGACACAAGAAACATTGTGTACATGCAACAATAATTCAACGTGCTAAGAGCCTAAGACCTAATATTTGCTAGCTAGCTATGGAAAAATTCATACAACAAAAGATATTATTTATGACACGTAAAATATTTCTTGGTTACGAATAATTATATGAAACGGGTATAGTAAATTCTATGTGATATGAAAATAGAAAATAAAGCAATTAATACCTGAAAGAAACCCCATTCCTCGCAAGCAGACGCTAGATGAATAATTTCATCATAGCTTCCTTTAGCAATCTTTGAAAGATCAATAATAGGAACGTCTTTACTAATAGGCGAATCAGAAATGACTGAATCGATCTCATCTACGTCCCTCATAAATCTATCAGGAACTGTGGTACTTTGGGTTTTTCTTAGCTCTTGCACATCATCTATGTGCCCTACATTCATTTGTGTGATTGGTGCAGGAGCCATTATATAAAGACCTCACTTTTTTTTTTTTTTTTTTTTTTGTAACTTTGAGAGTGAAGATTGAGCTTTATTTGTTACAATATAGCTCTATACCATATTACACTACTACTAGGGCCATGTCTATTTATAATGAGGAGATGGTAGTGCAAATGTTTGCATTTTTTGGAAGTTTTATGGCGGCCAGTGGACCCACTACGTGGAGTGACTAGGTCCCATCTTTGAAAAACAGTGGATGTTTTGCTTTTCTGAACTCATAATCATCAAGGATTGGACTCCAGTGAGATACTGTAATAAGTAAGGCATATTTTGGAGAGTTTAATATTGTAAAACTATACTTCTCACTGTCATGAACTAGAAGGGTTTTTAGTGGATGTATACATCACAAGGATACAGGTAACTATGAGCTTGATCTTGAAACCATAGGTACCATGTTACTATGTATACTTTTAGCGGAGAGGGAGGGATAGCTTAAGTGGTTAAAGTTTTCCTCTTGGTTTTAGGAGATCCTGTGATTGATTCTCACCCTTGTCCTTGTAGCTCTCTAAACACCAAAAAAAAAAAAAATGTATACTTCTATCATTTTCAATTTTGATGGTGAGGCGGTCGAGCAATGACATCACTCCCCACCTTAAATCCTTGTCGAGGAATCAACGTTTATGAGATTCATTTAAGGGTACGGTTTAGTTTTCGTGTTAAGCCACGTATATATTGTATTTAGTTTCTTAATGGGCTATGCTTAGGCCCTTGACTTAGGTTTTATATATACCTTATTTACACAGCAATACAAACTAAGGATTCACTTTCTTGACACTTACCCTCCCATTTAAGTAAATCATCCTCATCTTACCTTAAAAAGAATACTCGTGATTTTCTTATTATGTTGGTTCTTATATTATGTCAGTTGACAAACTCACTTAAAAGCTTAATATAATAGTTGAAGTCTAAGATTAATTTTTATATCAATAGTCGAGAGAAAACATAGTAAAGAGTAATTTTGATATACATAGTATAAACTTTTTATAATATGATATTTCCAAAAAAAAATAAAATAAAAAATTGAAATTATGCACTGTTAAATATAACTAAAGAACATATCAGCTAAAATAAAACAAAAGAAGTACTTATTTCATTTCTTAATACTTGCAACACAGTACATCCTCTTTTACAGTATTTAAGAAAAGTGAGTCTCATGTAATTTAAAACATTTGATATGAAGGAGAGGGATTGTTAAGTGTATAATTTAGTGGGCCATGAGATTATAATAAGGGTGTAGGGTGATAGAACAACTTTTGACTTAAAATACTTTCCAATTATCTTGTGTTGTAACTTATAAGTATTGTGACATTTCCATTTTAGAAAAGTTTTGCAACTATAAAAAAAATGGAGGAAATATGTTTTAATGTCAAGTGATTAAGACACATAAGTCGTTAATCCCGGATTACTAATGCATAAAAGGACAAAAGGAAACAAACTAAACTTGGTTTCACCGTTAAACCCCGGCTCAACTTGGCCCCTACTACGGTACTACCCCATGTCCCCATGAACCAAAAAAGTCATAACAAACTAAACTCAATGTCAAGTGATTTCAATGATGTAGCTTTGAGGGTCCATGTTTCTCCTTCTAGGCCCCTACTCTACTCACCCATCACCCATGACAATTGGAAAGTTGAGAAAAAGCTTGCATATTCACCCCACCTTGACATGTAGTGCCATTGAAACATTGAATCAATTATTGTTGTTAACTTCACTTTTTTGCCCCACTTTGCTCAGCATATTTATCAACGCAGAAATTTAATCAATATTTAAAAATATGAGTTATAGATTAAAAAAAAATAATAATTAAATACCATACGTAGTATATAAAAATGATTCTCACAGCTACGTATCCACATGGCTATATTTAATGTTATGATAGAGTATAAAATATATTCATGAACTTCAATCATAAGCTTAAATTTTTAGTTGATATGATCCTCTAATATGGTATCAGAGCTAGTGTGATACAAAGATTACGGATTCTAACCTCGTTCACCCCTCACTTTCAAGTGTAATATTAAGCTCTGGGTAGCCACATGCTTTATCCATAAGCTTAACCTTTTAGTTGGGATAATCCTCTAACATGTTATGAAACTGTAATTCCCTCACGTTGGATATTCTCTAGTGACTAGTGTTCTAACATGAGCCAAAAGACCACTACATGAAAAATTCTTCACTGGGTCATACTAAAGTCAACATTAGAGAAGAGTATGATCACAAATAACCCCTATACTAAAATTAAGAAGAGTATAAACTCACATATAACCTACTTTTCTAACATGTCCGTCTCAAAACTAATACGAAGTATAATTGTTGATAAAAGCCACATAATTTACTCAACTGCTATTTATCGCTCCCAATTTATCAGGTAACGCTCCCTTTTTGACTTGAATGGACCACTATGTCCTTTATGCAATTTGTGTTATAAAATGGACCTTGTTCCCCATTTGGACACAATACATGAAACGGTCCCCTCACTTCACGACATTGCAGTCCCAAGCCTCCCAAAATCGGTCCCCACGGCCTTGCAACCAAATCGGTCCCCACGACCACCTAAATTTTCTATTTTTAAAAATCGTGAAATTTTCCGACGGGTCTTGGGTCATGGACGGCGAGTGGAACATACGTACACCGGATAATGCGTCGGATCATTCTGTAAGTTTTTTTTTTTTAATTTCGGTAATTAGGACATCCGCCTAAAATTTCCGGATGTCCTAGGTACATCCGCCTAAAATTTCCGGATGTACCATGGAACATCCGGAAATTTCAAGCGGAAGATGGGATCCGCCTAAAAAATCCGGATGTTCCATGGTACATCCGGAAATTTTAGGCGGATGTACCAAGGGACATCCAGAAATTTTAGGCGGATGTCCCTATTCAATTTTTTTAAATTTTTTTTTTAAGTACGTTTATTTAATTTTTTTATGTTTATTAAGCTTTTTTTTTATGTATTTTTTTTTTCGTGGTCTTGTGATTATTGTGATTTAGTATTTGATAATTAATGTAATTTTGTTGTATTAATATGATTATTAGTGATATGTTTATTTTTTGTTTCATTATTTATATTACTATTATTATTATTGAAAATATTATTATTATTATTATTATTATTGTTATTATTATTATTATTATTATTATTATTATTATTATTATTATTATTATTATTATTATTATTATCGTAGTTGTTGTTGTTGTTGATATTATTGTTGTTGTTGTAGTTGATATTATTATTGTTGTTGTTGTAGTTGATATTATTATTGTTGTTGTTGTAGTTGATATTATTATTGTTGCTGTTATTTTTATTGTTGTTGTTGTTGATATTGTTATTATTAATTAGTAGAAATAATAATTTTAATATTATTATTATTATTATTATTATTGTTATTATTATTATTATTTATTTATTAATTAATGTTATGGTCTTATAAATTGTTTTGTAGTTGTTGTTATAATTTTTTATTATCATTAATATTGTTATTGTTTTGTATTTGTTGTTATTATTATTAGTATTGTTATTAGTATTGTTATTATTATTATTATTATTATTATTATTATTATTATTGTTTTTATTATTTTAATTATAATAATAATTATTATTATTATTATTATTATTGTTTTTATTATTATTATTTTGACATAAAGCATGTTTTGTTTAATTTGTATAGGATATGGAATCTGAGGAAGGCGGTGACGGTGTGAATTATAGTGGGAATTTTGTCACCGATACGTTTTTTCCTACATTTGACGATGTTGTTACATGGGCTGATGGTGTTTCCATAAAATTGGGATTTATATTGGTGAAATTGTCTTATAACAAAACCAGAGATGGTTGTTCGTATCGGTATTTGCGATGTGATCGGTCACGAAGGAGCAAGCCGAGAGATTTGGAGAACGCGATACGGAAGGACACCAAAACCAAAGCTAATGGTTGTCCATTCTACATCAAGATATATTATGATGTCAGCACCGAAAGTTGGAAGATCATTGCGAAAAATGATCACACCGGGACACATAACCACCCAATGATTGTGTACCCAGAGGGTCACTGTAAATTGAGCGGATTGTGTCCGGGTGCAAAACAGGTTGTGCGGGACATGACAAAGTCCAAGGTTGCTCCCCGTAACATCATGTCCACTATTGCCGAGCAATTTCCTGATGATCATCCAAACATCCGACACATTTACAATTGCCGAAATGACTTCAGGATGGAGATGTCCGAAGGAAGAGGAGTTGTTCAACAATTTCTTCATCTGGCGAGAGAGAGTAAATACATTTACTGGTTCACGAACGATGATCACAACGTTTTGCAACATGCATTTATGGTGCACCCGATCATGGTCAACATACTCCGCACATACCCACATGTCATAGGTATGGATTCTACTTACAAGACCAATCGATATAGCATGCCTATCTTTGAGATAGTAGGCGCGACACCGACAAACCAGAATTTTCTAGTTGGATATTTTTTCATGCGCGACGAGTGCACGACTAGCTATCGGTGGGTGTTGCAGAGATTAAGGGAGTTGATTGGGTTTGATAAAGAGCCATCTGTATTTATTTCAGACCGTGATCTTGGGCTATGTGCGGCTTTGAGAGAAGTCTTTCCAGGGACGTCACATTTACTCTGTCTATGGCACATCAACAGAGATGTAGAGGCTAAGGTGACGAAGATGTTTGGAAACAAGACGGTTGGTGTCAGTTTTAGAGCTGGGAGATGGTTCAAAATTGTGAATGCAACAACACAGGTGGAGTATGATCGTGCTCTAACTGCCATGCAAGTGAGGTGGGGAAAATATCCGGAAGTAATTCAGTATGTTCAAAGAACTTGGCTTTGTCATAAGGAGAAATTTGTGAAATTTTGGACGAACCAGGTTCTTCATTTTGGTAACACCACCAACTGCAGAGTTGAGAACGAATATTCAGCAGTGAAAATTTGGTTAGAATCATCCACAGGTTAGTTGTATTATTTTATTAGTTGTTCTCGTTGTTACGTAATTGTAATTGTATTAATTGTAATTGTATTTGAATTTACTAATTAGAATCATTGGCAGGTGCTTTGGATACCGTATGGGCCCG